GAATGTGTTTCTAGGCGAAATTTTAAGTTTTGCTTGGCTTGAGAAGTGATTGTAGGCTCTCCTTGACCCGCTTGAAATTTTCCATTGCCCACCAATGTTGTTATCCCTAGTCAACCCATTTGAGCCTAAAAACATTCTCATTTGATGACCATGTTACAAGCCTTTACCCATTTTGTCGTGACCCTCTCTTGGCACCTGAGCTTTCCTTAACATTCTTGTGAAACAATTGACTAAAAAAGTAAGTTTGGGGGAGAGATGAGGCGTTTGAAAAAGGTATCAAGGCAGAAAAAAAGGAAAGAAATAAAGAGAAGTAAAGGCAAGAAAAATAAAGAACAACAAGAAAACTACAAAAAGAAAGTGAATAAGTTGAAGAGTTGAAGGGATTCAAAGAAAAGAAATGATGCAAAGCATGGAGAAATCAAAGAAGGAGAAATGAATATCATGACAAAGAAAGAGTGAAGTTTATTCTCTAGTTTCCCTAAGGAAAAGAAAATGCCTCAATGATTTGGCAAAGTATTTACCGAGAAAAGAAAATGAAGTTCTTAAGGGAAGATGCACTCATTCAATCATAGCATATCCAACCTTGGTCCAAAAGCCTTCATTACGTTCCGAAAAAGTCCTAAGTGATTTCAAGCCAAGTGAACTTACATTAGTAGTGATCTACATAAGGGGAAACCCTATGGTACTTAAAGTCGTACATGCAACATTCTTTTGAGAGAGATGAGTGAACTTTTCGCAAATCTTTGAATTGAGTGCTATATTCTTATCTGAAGTATGCAAACAGAGAGAAGAGGAGAAGGAGTTCGGGATCCACAATGACCTACATAAAAGATCGAGCTTCCTTGATGAATAAAGTCAACTCTTGATACTCAAGTGTCACATTAGAACTATTTGTGCTTATAAGTGGTATGGGTAATTATTTGTCCCAATTGATGTGTGATTGATTCACCGTTGATTAGCTGGAATGGCTCTTAACTTGTGGAAGTGGGAACAATTTTATTTGCTTGAGGACAAGGAAAAGCTTAAGTTTGGGGGAGTTGATAAGTGGGGATTTTGACTACTTATTAGCGCCTTTTAGCTTTGTTTTTAGTCTAAAAGCGTTTAATTGTGTTCCCAAAAACTAATGAAATAAGCTTAATCGCAGGAATATTGGAAGATAAACTCCTGAGATGAAATCCAACTCAAAAGGAGTAATCTAACTCAAGGACAAAAAAGGCATCAAAGCACAAAAATGCCGACCGCAGAATACCATCTGCGGCTGCAGGTTGTGAAAAAAAATCCATCAGAGACGGGTGCAATGTGCGGTCCGCACATGAATTGTGCGATCGTAGAAGCTGGGTCAGGAGCAAAGTTCAGAGAGTCTGCATTTCAAGACCATCAAAGGTTTGGACCGCACAATTATTATGCGGCCATAGAGGAAGAGCTATGCGGATGCAGTTACAATTGCAGGGACCACAGAAGAGCAAGGTGCGGCCGCAGTTACAAATCTTTGGACCGCAGAAAGAGTGCAGTGCGGCTGCAGTCTAGAATTATGTGGCCGTAGATTTCCAATCTTGTCATGCTGAAGAAATAGTGCGGACCGCACATGGAATTCTGCGACCGCAGAACCTCCGAGAGGGCATTTTCATCTGAAATTTCCATCCCTTTATAAATAGAAGAGTTTCTCTTTTTTAGGTACTTCTTCCATCAATAGCTGCAGTAGTCGTTTCTCTTTACTGCTTTTAGTAGTTTTTCATATTTTGGGATATTTTAACATGGATTTTATCATTTTAATTTTGCAATATAAGTTTAATTATCATTTCTTTGTCTATTTCTTCAATTTCAAGTATGAGTAGCTAGATTTTTACAAGGGTTGTGACCCAACCCTAGTTTGTAAACCTTATGGGTGATTAAGTTTATGGTTGTTTATGAATGGGTGTGTGTTATTAGCTTGGTTTATGCTTTATTTGTAGAATTAGTGGTTGCAAATATTAATTCATACCTATTTGACTGTCTCTTGTTGAGAAAGAGGGACCTACTCTAGGTTAACCTAGCTAACAATGGGTCAATTGAGAAATTGACTAACCCAATTAAAGGGCTAAACCTAGAGATACTAACAACCCGACTTGAGCTCTTTTCAATCGTTTTGGTAGATATCCATTTGGTCTTGAGAAAGCCAAATTGGGCAAAACCACTCTCTGATCGAGAGGTATTGAGTGGGCAGCATAGTGTTGTGAGCTATAATACACCCCTGTCAATAAAACGAGCGTAAAAGTCTTTATCGCATTACGCAAATACCTAGGTTATGGTCATAGTCTTAGGCCTTTTTCTATCCTTGAAAAACAACAAAAATTATTTCTTAGTTTCAGTTCATAGTTTTGCAATCTTAGTTTAAAATAGACATAGAACCAAACCCAATTTGTGGAAGTGTAAATTGAGATATTTCAAACTCATACACTACAATATATACTCCTAACTCCCACATATAGCTCCATGTGGAATTTGACCCTAACTCCTTTTTGGGTACTATTGCAATCGACTGTTTCATAAACTTGATTTGAGGTGTGAACTTGGACGAGATCACATCCTACAAAGGCTCAGCAACACTTTTAGGTTAAATAAGATAAAAAAGAGCATCAAAAGCACAAAGATTATTCAAAGAAGATATGGTTTTGATTTCGGAAGTTGGATCAGTAACTATATTCTTAATGGGATGAGAACTTTGATACTTGTAAGCTTTCACAAGTTTCCCATAAGTGTTCCTTCAACGTTTTGTTGCTGAGGAACAAGTTCATGGACAGGTTCCCTCGAGGTTTGAGGATCAGCTCCTCTCTGGTCCATTCCCCCTGTCAAGTTGCCCTGGGTAGAACCTTTGCCCATTGACAACACTGAAGAGGTTGGGCAAAGGCCTATACGAGATACGAGAAGAGACCATGAACGTGAAGGCATCTGATGGGTCATAGAGAGCTTCCATCGGGGAAATTAATCTTCTCTGCAGATAGGGCCTACGTGGTTTGATGTCGAGTTTCAAGTGTTGGACATATCTGCATCCTACATTGTGTTGTTGGGACAACCATGGATATACGCCGCAGGGGCTGTGGCATCAACTTTGCATCAGGCAGTGAAGTTTGAGTGGAACCATCAGTAGGTGATTATCCATGGAGATGGGAGCAACCCCATTTACACCTGTCAGACTATCCGATGGTCGAGAATAGGAGAAAGCTAGGCGGAGAAACTTATCATCATATCGAGCGGGTAAATGCAATCGACAAAGATAAGTGGTGGGATAGCAAGATAGAAAACATGATGAACTGGAGAGGGTATGAGCCTGGCAAAGGTCTTGGCAAAAATCATCAGGGCATTTCCAAGCCAATACAGCCGAAGCATCATGGCACTACTTTTGGCCTGGGATACTGATACACTTGGCAAGAGTACAGGAACTGGTCACCACCATGGCGTGGTCCGTAGTATCCATTGGAGCAGCCTATACCGCACTTGAGTCAGACCTTCCAACAGGGCGACATTGTATGGGGATCAGAGGAGAAAGCAACACCGGCAGCCTTAAGGAACCTATTCTTAGAGGATGAGGACATGGACTGTTGTGTTATTGTTGAGGAGGAGGAGGAGGAGGAAGGCCCTACCATCCGGGCTGTGGAGAAAGGACCATTCCTCAAGAATTGGACCGTCAGACCATCCAGGGCCCGACGAATCCCGGGGTAGCTAGGCTGAACAACATTGTTTTGTTTATTTTCTAAGAAAAATGATTTCCCTTTTTGGCATTTTGTTTTAAATAAATATTTCCAATGTTCCGAAAATGTTGTTTAAATTATTGAAAATCTATTTAATGCTTCAATGAATCAATAGTTATTATTACCATTTTCCTCTCACATTTTTATCTATACAGCACTACCATTTCCTATCTCGATGAACCAACAACTGTGATGACATGTAATGAGACGACACGACAAAAGGATAGTGATTCGGAAGAACAAGATGTCATACCCGAGGAAATTATCAGAGAAGTTGAAGACTTTGTGAGCAAGCCTAAGACCGATCTGGACAAAACAGAAATAATCAACTTGGGAGATTCTGAAACTGTCAAGGAAACCCGCATCAGCATCCACTTGTCGCGATCAGAAAAAGAGAAGTACACACAGTTCTTGAAAGGGTATGAGGACATACGATGATATGATCGGGTTAAGTACATCTATTATGGCTCACAAGTTTCCCACAAACCCAACGTGTCCACCAGTGAAGGAGAAACCCAGGAAATTCAAGCCTGACGTGAGTCTGAAAATCAAGGAGTAGGTTACTAAGCATATCAAAGCCAAGGTCCTCAGGGTGGTTGAATACCCAACTTGGTTAGCCAACATCGTTCCGGTTCCAAAGAAGGATGGGAAGGATAGGGTCTGTGTTGATTATCTGGATCTCAATAGGGCCAGCCCAAAGGATGATTTCCCACTTCCAAACAGACACATCCTAATCGACAATTGTGCCAAGCATGAAATCCAATCGTTTGTGGATTATTTTGCCAGTTACCATCAGATCTCGATGGACGAAGAGGATGCTAAGAAAGCGGCTTTCATTACACCATGGGGAGTATACTATTATAAGATGATGCAATTCAGTCTAAAGAATGCTAGGGCAACCTACATGAGGGCTATGACTAGCATTTTCAGGATATGATACATAAGGAGATCGAGGTATATGTGGACAACATCATCATCTAATCCAAGAAAGCCACAGATCATATAGCGGATTTGAGGACGTTTTTCGATAGACTACGGAAATACAACCTGAAACTAAACCCCATAAAATGTGCATTTGGGGTTCCTGTCGGAAAGTTACTTGGGTTCATCGTCTACCGCCAAGGGATAGAATTGGATCCGTCAAAAGTCAAAGCCATCCAGGAGCTGCAACCGCCGAGGTGTAAGAAGGATGGAATGAGTTTTCTAGGACGGCTAAACTACATCAGCCGGTTCATAGCCCAGTCCACAATTATATGTGAGCCGATTTTCAAGATGTTGAAGAAAGATGCTGCAACTAATTGGACTGAAGATTGCCAAAAGGCTTTTGACAAGATCAAGAAGTACTTATCAACACCACCAGTCATGGTCCCGCCAGAGCTAGATAGACCCTTGGTACTCTTTCTTGCAGTGCCAGATGGAGCCTTCGGCTGCGTTCTGGGGCAGCACGACGAGACATGGAGAAATGAACAAGCTATTTATTACCTGAGTAAGAAGTTCACTCCATATAAAGCGCGGTACTCTCTATTGGAACGTACCTGCTGCACTCTGACCTGGATAGCTCAGAAGCTGAGGCATTACTTCTTTGCTTACACAACATACCTCATATCAAGGATGGATCCCTTGAAATATATCTTTCAGAAACTTATGCCCACTGGCAAGCTGGCTAAGTGGAAAATCCTGTTGAGCGAATTCGGCATTGTTTATGTGTCTCAGAAAGCAGTCAAGGGATAGGCACTGGCAGATCATCTTGCTGAGAACCCTGTGGAAGGAGAATACGAACCCCTGAAATTGTATTTTCCCGATGAAAAGGTGCTATTCATAGGAGAAGATATTGCTGAGTCCTACGAAGGTTGTAGAATGTTCTTTGACGGAGCGGCAAATTTCAAGGGAATCGGCATTGGAGTCATCTGGGTATCGGAAACTGGCCAACATTATTCGGTATCTGCTAAACTCAGATATCCATGCACCAACAACATGGCAGAGTATGAAATCTGCATACTAGGGCTCAACATGGCCATCGACATGAATATTCAGGAGCTGCTAGTAAGGGGTGATTAAAATTTGCTTGTGCACCAGGTACAAGGAGAATAGGCCACCAAGAATTCCCAAATATTGCCATATTTGCACCATGTGCAGGAATTGAGAAAGAGGTTCATGAAGATCTATAGCCAACCGGCGTATTGTGCCCATGTTAAAGAAGAAACATGGGAAGCCTTGGTTTCATGATATCAAAGAATATTTGGCAAAAGGAGAATATCCGGATCATGCAAATCATACTTGGAAACGTACGCTTCGGAGGTTGTCCAACAATTTCTTCCACAGCGGAGGAACCTTGTATAGAAGAACTCCTGATTTGGGATTGCTAAGGTGTGTTGACGCAAAAGAATATTATATGCTACTTGAGGGGATACATGCTGGAACCTGCGAACCGCATATGAACGACATTGTCTTGGCCAAGAAGATACTTAGGGCCGGTTATTTTTGGATGACCATGGAGGGAGATTGCGTCTAGTATGTACGAAAATGCTACCAATGTCAAGTACATGCCGATATGATAAAAGTGCCTCCAAATGAGCTCAATGCAACAAACTCACCTTGGCCATTCGCCGCTTGGGAATGGATGTCATTGGTCCAATCGAGCCTACAAACTCAAATGGGCATCGGTTCATCTTGGCATCTATTGATAACTTCACCAAATGGGTCGAAGCAGCATCTTACAAGGCAGTAACTAAGAAGGTCGTAGAAGATTTTGTCCGCGACCGGATTGTTTGCCAGTTCAGAGTTCCAGAATCAATCATCACTAATAATGTCTCCAATCTCAATAGTGATCTCGTGAAGACCATGTGTGAGACTTTCAAAATCATGCACAAGAATTCCACAGCCTATAGACCTCAGATGAATGGAGCCGTAGAACCCACTAACAAGAATATCAAGAAAATACTGAGAAGGATGGTGGAAAATCACAAACAATGGCACGAGAAGCTGCTATTTGCTTTATTGCACAGTCCATACATCAACCAGGGCAACTCCCTACTTACTGGTTTATTGTATTGAAGTTGTTATTCCTGCTAAACTGGAGATTCCTTCTTTGAGAATCATACAAGAAGCTGAGCTCAGCGACACAGAATGGATAAGGAGCCAATATGAGCAGCTAGATCTCATAGACGGAAAAAGGATGAATGAAGTGTGTCAAGGCAACTATATCAGAACAGATTGTCCAGAGAGTTCAACAAAAGAGTCAAGTAGAGACAGTTCACACCGAGGCAACTGGTGTTGAAGAAGATCTTTCCGCATCAGGATGAAGCCAAAGGGAAATTCTCTCCCAACTGGCAAGGCCCTTACATGGTTCACAGAGTATTGACAGGAAGAGCCCTCATACATTTAGAAATGAACGGAGAAGTCTGGACAAAATCGATCAACTCAGATGCAGTCAAACTATACTATGTGTAATTATTTATGTTTTCACAAAATCATGTAAATTGAACTATGCTCGACCTGATTCCCGTTTAAGATGGGATACGTAGGCAACCCTGTGGGTTCGGTCAGAATTCAATAAAAATCCTAGTTTTCCCCCACAATCAGAAACTGGTGCAGAATTTTGAGGAGGACCCTCAAAATTCCGAAGCAATTTCAGCTGATCGCAGCATGTGCAGCAGTCAGATGCGTTCATCTAACTGGGGCAGAATTTTGAGGAGGACCCTCAAAATTCTATAGCAGGAGAGGTTGCAATGTCTTGGATCATGTCACAGTCACTGGTTCATCTAACCAATTTCTAAAATAATATATTTTTATTACGTCTTTGAAAACTATGCATGCGTGCTTGTAAAATTACTCTGTGTAGCCAACACTACCTCCAATGATTTGAACAGGATCTTCGGACCAAGCAAAGCAAGCCAAGCAAGCTGACGGAGGCACGAACCGACCTCCCCCTTTGCAGAACACACGATTTTATTTGGATGGAGGAGCGAAGAATAAACATGCCTCCAAGTCACAATTTTCATAACAACCGTGATACTGAAATACATTACTAGCTAAGAAAACTCTGGTATCACCTGCTATTTATTCTATTTTTGCATTGGACTAAGCCCTGTCCGAAACCCTGCATGAGGCTAAGCCCTGCCTCTATATTTGCATAAGGCTAAGCACTGCTCTCCATTTGCATGGGAATAAGCCCTGTCTTGAATCTTGCATGAGACTAAGCTCTGTCTCCATCTGCATGAGGCTAAGCCCTACCTCCATTTTGCACAAGGCTAAGCACTACCTTCCATTTGCATGGGAGTAAGCCCTGTCCTGAATCTTGCATGAGACTATGCTCTGTCTCCATCTGTATGAGGCTAATCCCTGCCCCTATTATGCATAAGGCTAAGCACTGCCTTTTATTTGCATAGGACTAAGCCCTGTCCCGAATCTTGCATGAGACTAAAGCTCTATCTCCATCTGCATATGGCTAAGCCTTGCCTCCATATTTGCATAAGGCTAATCTTTGCCTTCCATTTGTATGGGACTAAGCCCTGTCCCGAATCCTACATAAGGCTAAGCCCTGCCTCCATATCTGCATAAGGCTATTCTCTGCCTTCCATCTGCATGGGACTAAGCCCTATCCCGAATCTTACATGAGGCTAAGCTCTGCCTCCTGTTTGCATAAGGCCAGTCATCGCCTTTATTTGCCGAGACTAAGCACTGTCTCTTCGGAGTCACCATTTGCATGGCCCGAGAACATCAATTCATGGCCTGCGAATCCCCCACCGAATAATTCATGGCCCAGGACATCATGGTCTAAGGACGTAATCCTCAACCGTCCAAAGACAATCTTTCATGGTCTAAAGGGAATTCGCATCATCTATATACTCGCATGCATTGTTTTTTAAGTTTTGCCGGTAATCCAGGAAGTAACTGTTCTTCGAACAGGAGAAACCTTCGCTCCGGTTTTCGCTCATACCATTTTCACTTTGCCATTATAACCGATTCCCATCAATTACCCACCTTACTCTGTGATATCCAGCTATCTGCCCTATAATACATCCGATACACTCCAAACTCACAACCATAACTCCGTCCGACATTACCCTTTGCAAAAGAACCTTCGCTGAAACTGGCTACCATTTCTATAACAACTCCATTGCCTTCATTCACCGTTGGGTTCAGAACTACACATGACCTGATTCTTGTAAAGCCAGGGATATGTAGGCAGCTCAAAGACCAGGGTTCGGCCTATATTATTTCAAAACGCCCACACGGTCAAAATCAGTCATTATTTCTTTACCCTAAAACTCCTTCATCCTTCCCAGGTAAAGAGGGGCAGCTGTTGGTACCCAATTTTTCCCTCTTATATTTTTAAAATGTGCATGCATACTTTTAAAATATTGTGCATGCAATTACAAACATGAACAACTGGTTTACTATTTTTTCTATAATTTTTATAGGCCTTAAATCCATTTATTTCTGTATTTATATAGAAAATGACTTTTCATATTTTGTAATATTGAATAGTTATTTTAGATCACCTTCATGCTTGAAAATCATTTTTATCATTTAATTAGTTATTTTTAAAATTATTTTATTTAGTAAAATGGGTATTTCAATAATAGCCCCTAATTATACACCCAAAATCGGACCCATCCCAATTAAATTTAATTAACTCAAGCCCAATTCAAACGACCCTAACCCAATTAAAAAACCTACCCGACCCAGGCGGCCCCTATTCATTCTTACCATTTTTAACTCAAACGACCCCCCCCCCTAACCTAGCCCATTTGTTACACTCCACTGCCCTTCGCTCCATACTCTCTCCAACTCTCTCTCAACTCGCCCCTAACCCTAATCGTCGTCATCGGCATGAAGCTCCCTTCCATGGTGTTTCTGTGCGTTCTTCGACCACCACCAGTCTCCTATACTCTCTAGCTGCTTGATTTCCTGAGTCCTTGAGAAGGTCTCACGAAAATCCAACCTGTTCTGGCATGAAAGTTATTTACCGGCCTGTCTCAGGCCAATTTAGTTTGTGAGTATGGATTTCCTCTAGCTTCTAGTACGAATCCATGGGTTTTCGATTGATTCTCTTTATCTTTACCATTTTTCTGAAAACCCTAGTTTCACTACTGTTTGAATCTTCTCAGATCTTTGTAGATCTGAAGTTATTCAAGTATCATTGGGTGTTTTCCTTTAAGAATCTTTTTGTTTAATTAATTGTTTCGGCTTCGTTTACTCTTTCTGAAATTAGAGTTCATCCCATGTTTTATTCAGAAGGTTTTCTTCACTTTCAAATGTTAAAGTAATGGTTTCTCTGCATGTTTGATTAATTTTCGTGTATATTTTTAAAGCCTAGATGCCCCTGTTCGCGACACTGATTTCTTCAATTTTTTGTTATTATGTTTGTTTCTATGAACCAATTATATATACTGGTTCTATTTTAGTTTTGAACAATTTTTCTGTGAGAACCAGTATTCTTTGGATTTCTTTTTACTTTATTGATTCCTATTAAGGATTTGAACCAATTCTTCCCGTTAAAATCAGTACTTCTCCGTAATTTACCTATTTTCCTTATTTGTGTCTTTAATTAGTACTGCTTGCCTTAATTAGACTACTATTCTTATTTAGGGATTTAATTGACTCCTATATGGTATATGATTGATTTTTTTACCTTACTTGAATCCCAATCTGAATCGTTAAGGGATTCCCCCCAATTTAAGGGGGTCCTTTTCCGGATTCTTCTGTGGAAATTGATCAAGTTAAGTCCCCAATTAACTGAATGATTTATTTGAGTACCCTGTTTATGAAGTCTGATTTATTCTTTACCTTATTTGCCTACCGTACTAGGTGCTATATAAACTCTCATTCTGACTTCTTTAAACGAACGAACGAACAATAGTTCAAAACACACACACACACACACACACACACAAGCTTTCTCTCATCTCTCTCTCTGCTACTTGTGTTCATTCGCCTTGTCTACGGCCGGCT